GACCTCATTCGCTCTTCTCGCTGCTGGGTAAGCATTTACCACGGTAGTTCGTCCTGGGACCAAAATACTAATGCATTTCGTTCAAACAATAGCGTTCCTTTCGAACTCACCGGCCTTTCGCAAATTCCCCAGATCTTGTCAACTATCGTCATATTCGTCGTCGGTGGACCAGTCGCCGACTCAGTGTCTCTCTGGATCTCGAAGAAGAAGGGTGGCCGTGAAGCCGAACACCAGCTTCCCAATCTCATCCTGCCCATTTTCTTCGCCATCACGGGTGCTCTAGTGTTTGGATACGCCGATCAGAACCACCTTCATTACGCCGTCTTGCTGCTCGGGACCTTCTTTCTCATGACATCAACCTTGATCACAGCGCCGATTGTGCAAAACTATGTCATTGAGAGCTACCCCCAGTGGGCTGGTCCCGTTCTGGTAAACGTCTCGACTCTACGTGTTTTCATATCCTTTCCTCTTAACACACAGGTGACAACTTGGCTTCAAGAATTAGGTGAGTCTGAAATTCGCTCTGAATGTTGCACATCTTGTTAATGAAGAATGCTTTTCGACAGGTCCAATGAAGTTTACAGTCTATCTGTCCATCATGCTCCTAGTCGTCTCGACCGGTATTCCAATTCTCTTCATCTTTGGCAAGAAGTTACGCATGAAGACGTCCGACAAAGTTTCAAAGAGGCAATAATAAACCGTTGCATGAGCAAGTACTCTAATTGGAGTCTTGCACTAGAGGCTGCCACAGACAGCAGCCCGTCCAATAGCGTAGAGTGAGGATTGTCTTTTTCCTGGCGGTTCTGTTCTAGAAGGAGCCAGATTCTTGTCGCAGAATCTTAAACGTGGGCTTCTCGCAGCTGATATGTCTGTGTCTCGACGGTGCGACTTTCGTTGTGAGACTTGGATCATGTTTCAATTGGTAGGTGAGCTATCCATGCCGGGAGTTTAATGGTTCGGGGACGGGAAACTAATGGGAATCGGCATGGAAAATATCTTTATTGACTTTAGTCTGCGGGAGGGCGCAGACCTTGCGTGCTTGAATGTAATATGTTTGAAAGGCGGAATTATGTCATGTCTGGCTAGGATACAGTCAACAAACCTCATTCGGGTTTTTTGCTTTGGATGCATCGTGACTTTCTTCGGGCCCTTTCTCGGACTATAGATCATTAATTAGATGTGAATCTCCCTTCGAAGATCTCAGCTGTAAGTGCAAGAAAAGTTCACCGCCTTCAGATGAGGCCAAACCCAGACAACACGCCAAGGTCGCAATATTCGGGGTAGCATCCTTTCAAGTTGCCAAGTAAGCACGCATCATTCGATTCGCCAGTGTCAACCAAAAGACGGTTGCGCTAGTCTGCAGTGAGATTCAAAAATAGTCCACTGGGTAAAAACACGAACCGACCACCTAGATGGGGCTAGGCAACGTGAGCTGAAATTTGCCGAAGCAACGTTTCTAGCGGCACAGCAAAAAGCTTGTCCGAGAATTTGGGACTTTTGTCTTTCGTCAATGCATCTCGTGAGAGTATGAATAGACGGCATCTTCGCGCTGTCTGGTGATTTCTTATTCTTGGTTTTGAGATCACGGATTTCATTACTTTCCATATTAATTCGCTTTTGTCACTCGCTACGTTACCGTCACTCGTTTATTCACCCTTATTGTACCCATGTCACGCTTGCTTACTGCCCTGGCATTGGTTGGCCTTGGTGCCAACGTGGCAATGGGGATTCCTTTCGACCAGGAGGAACAAAACCGGAACGCTGAGTGCGATGTAAGTATGAAAACCCTTCAACGTTTTTTCAGGTACTGATATTCCTGCGACGTAGAATGGTTGCTTCTTCGGCAGCTTCCCCGGAGGCTCTTGCACAAATGATGCTGCATGCATGTGCACCCAGCAAAAGTATCGTGAGAGATACTTCTGCTGCATGGCCCAGAAATGCGCTGCTTCCGTACTGCCCGGTAAATATTTCCGACTGGCGTAAAGCTAGGTTAGCACTGACGGGAGTGTTGTCTAGATTCTATTCAGCGACAGGCTCTGGAATGTGAAGCGAGGAATATGCCCTTCACATTTGACACAGAGGCAGTATGCGGCATCAAGTTGACAACATCCACATCCGCTGCCCCCACCGTTACAGCCACTGTTACCGGCGGAGCGGGAACTCAGTCTTCAGTGCCATCGGCATCTGGCAGCTCATCTGTCCTGGTTGTCACCACAATGGCATCAACTCCAGTGATAGCACCCACACTGAGCGCAGGCGTCAACACTCCAACTGCTACACCGAGCAGCGGATCTGCTGAGCGCTTGCGGGGCTCCTTGGTTCTAGTCGCTGCAGCCGGCTGGATGTTCTGGTAGACGACTGGAGCTATTGCCGAGAACAAGAGTTTGTCATTTATCCGAACGATCATGATACGCCTATTAATCACCATTGCAATCAGCAAAAAGCTACGAACATTTAGACATTTTACCTCCTACACCCTAATAATAATGACAACAAGTACATAATGCAATTGAATTTTGATCCCTTTTCCTGAAAGCCAGTTTTGATTACCCCAGAAACTCTATCCGTAGATCCGGTGAACTCGGGAAGCGATTCAGCGAACGCCCGATGGGATGCTAGGCTCCCCCCGCGCTCACTGGTGGAGACGAAAAAGTCCGCCCAATCACTCTCCCAATCCCCTGGAACTAGGGGGAAGCTGTCCCCTGCGAGCCGCAATTTTAGGTGGTGTTTGCGCCATTCCACCGGTTTTCACGGGTGGCATTTCATTTCAGTTGCGTCTACTTTTCAAAGCTTGCATCTGGCCTATAAGTCTACCTACTGGAGTGATCCATCTGTTATCGTTGTTCGTGTTGGGAAAAGTTCCCAGCTTTCCGGTTCCTTGCAGCGACTCGACGTTGGTGCATTGTCGCGATGGTTGTCTCCAAGGCCTACCTGCTCGGCTGGGCAGCAGCAGTTGCGATTGCTTCGCCAGTCGCTGTTGAGACGCCCTTCAGCTGGAAGAATACGGAATATGTGTGAGTTCTGAAAATCCACACGGACGGCTACTTGAAATCACTGACGCGAGAAGGAGCTCAGACTCACATTTGGCGACTCTTACACATTCGTCCAAGGAACCGAAGGTCGCTGGGCATACAGCTTCATCGGATCCCAGCTGAACATTTCTTTCACACCCGAGCAGCTCCTCGGTGACCGCATTGTTCCGGGGCAGAACACGTCTTCTGCCGGCGGGCCTAATTGGGTTCAAGAGCTCACTGGCTGCAAAGAGGGCCATCCTCGGGACTGCGAGAAGCAATTATGGGGGTTCGCATACGCCGGAGCTGATATTTCGACTACCTTGTGAGGAATTCTCAGCTAATTCGACGCAAAGCGTATGAGATGAAGCTAACACCATCTCAGCGTCCCGCTGCACTGGAACCATACCATCTCGTATGAGAAACAGGTCGAACAATGGGATACCTACGGCAAGTCAGTCATTAACGCCGATCCCACCAAGTCACTCGTGGCCTCCTACATTGGAATCAATGACATCAACGACATGGCCAATTTCCAACTCCCTGTCAACGGGCTGAACAGCTGGGAAGAACTGTACACTGCAGTCATCGCGGAGCAGTTTGCAGCCTTGGAGACTGTATATGAAGCCGGGCATCGCCACTTCCTGTTCCTGAACTTACCTCCCCTCGATAAGAATGTACGTCAAATCCGGCACAGTCTTCGTTTCGACAACCTCTTCAAGAATCGTGTTGACCATACTACAGCCCGCATCGCAACTCAACCCAGCCCGTCTTCCAAGCACAGACATGATCAAGACGTTCAACGGCGTAGTCAACCAGACCGCAAAGGCGTTCTCAGAAAAGCATCCCGACGTGACTGCTCTGGTATTTGACACGTACAGCTGGCTTACACAAGTCTTTGATAACGCGGCGTCGTACGGGTTCACCAATACGAGCTCTTTCTGCCCTAGCTACAAAGCCTGGGATATCGATACGAACTATGCCGCGTACGGGTGTCAGCCGATTTATGAGTACTTCTGGTATAATTCGGGTCATATTACATACCATGTACATGAGGTTCTGGCGCAAAAGGTCAAGGAGTTCCTAGTTCAGAAGAGCGCCAGTGGATGCGGAGGGAGAAATCAGACGCTGAGCGCATGGGGAGCGAGATGGATCGGCGGGGAGTCAACCTGAATCCAGCGAACAATGTAAGATCAGTGCATTGATGTTGATCAATCAGGATTGTTCGTTATCGGCCTCGCAAAGATAATTGCTTAAAGGTTCCATTCCATTGCAGGCAGTCGCTAGCAAATTTTCTAAGGCCTATCTCCCCGAGCCTCGGAGCGATGTATTCAAACGTTATCGGCTCTCAAGATCTAGGCCGGGAGAGAAACCTATCGAAGCCCACCTTGAGCGTCCTCCATTATAATTTCGAAAATAGAGTCGTGGAAGTACAGAACCTTTTCTATTCTCAGAAAATGTTTGGAGCCGCTCCCAGAAAGTTACATAGAGGATAGTTGACCTGAATGACTCAATTGTCTGGTGTTAATTCAACGAATCTTGTTTACGAGAAGACTCTTGTAATAAGGCTTCATAGAAAGTAAGAGGCAAGCCGATCGGGGTAGATGGCTGACGTTGTCGGTTTTGAAGTTGACACAACTCTGCAAAGTGAAAAATGTCAGCATTAGCCATTTAAAGCTAGATTTCCGTGATACTCAGAGATAATTGCTCCGTGCCGCACCGTGCCGCGAAGCCGATCAGGTCCAAACGCCGGCCGAGATAGGAAGGTCAAAGTTCTGGTCGAATCAAAAGCTCGGGATAGAGGTTTATCTGAGTTTTGACCCCACTCTGTCGTCGTTCTCGCGATCCTTCAGGACGTGTGCAACGCGTCACGTCATGCAAGACAGGCTGATCTGTAAGACTCTCTTCCGATAAATACACTGCCGTAGTCATTCATCGTATCGAAAGAGAGTCAATGGCGGTTTGGTCCCGTGAGTTATGTTTGTAAAGATGTTGTCCTCCGCCTCAATCGCGCTTGTCGGGCTCGCCGGTCTCGCGGCCGCGCAGTTCCCGCCCACACCCGAGGGGATCAAGGTGCTGAAGTCCAAATTCCACGAAAATGTCACCATTTCATACAAAGAGGTGAGCGCAAATTGTTTTGGATGATCTTTTGCATCCTTGACTAATTGAGGTCCTTGTCCTCTAGCCTGGTATCTGTGAGACCACGCCCGGGGTCAAGTCGTACGCCGGATACGTGCAGCTACCCTCAGGAACGCTGAATGACGTCGATGGGGAAGCTCAAGACTACCCAATCAACACGTAGGAACCGCAAATGCTCTCGGCTATCAATTGGAACTGGTGCTGATTCTTAAAGCTTCTTCTGGTTCTTTGAGGCGCGCAAAGCTCCAGAAAATGCTCCATTGGCAATCTGGCTCAACGGCGGACCGGGAGGCTCCTCCATCATGGGCCTCCTCGAAGAAAACGGCCCCTGCTTCGTTAACGAGGACTCCAAGACGACTCGTCTGAATCCGTGGAGTTGGAACAACGAAGTGAATCTACTCTACATCGACCAACCGACTCAGGTCGGATTCTCCTACGATATCCCAACCAATATTACCATCCACGCCAACGAGAACTTCGAAGAGAACGGACCATGGGGCATGTTCCCCGCCAACTTCAGCGATGGTGTACCCGAGGGCAACTACACCTACCGGTACGGCACTGCATCCAGCCAGAAGCTATCGCAGACATCGAACACCACGGCGCATGCTGCGCACGCTCTGTGGCACTTTGCGCAGACGTGGTTCTTCGAGTTCCCTGGCTACAAGCCCATTGACGACCGGGTCAGCTTGTGGGCCGAGTCATACGGAGGACACTATGCGCCTGGTATTTTCCGACACTTCCAGACGCAGAACGAGTTGATCCAGAATGGCTCATCGCCCGAGGAGAATGCCCAGTATATCCACCTTGATACGCTTGGAATCGTCAACGGGCTCATTGACCTGTCGATCCAAGGTGAGACGTGGATCACGTTCCCGTACAACAATGTGAGCAATTTGTACCCCTTGATACAGCTTAGAGTATCTGGGTGTATCATGATGAGATACAACGCTGACTACCTGTTCAGACCTATGGAATGCAAATCTTCAATGAATCGGTTTACGATGCGTTGATGCACAACTGGACCCGCCCAGACGGTTGCAAAGACCGAATTCTCGACTGCCAGGAAGCCCTCAAAGAACATGGACCGCTAGTCACCAACGGTGTGAAGAAGAACTACACTGAAATTTGCGGCGACTTCCTTACCGAGTGCGGCTTCAACGCCGTCGAAATCTACCAGAGCAAAGACGATGGAAGGGGCTGGTATGATATCGGACACAGCAAATATGACCCTTTCCCGGCCCCGCACTTGTACGGGTACCTCACTGAAGGCGAGGTTTTGTCGTCTCTCGGCGTGCCTGTGAACTACTCGGAATCGTCCGCGGCAGTGGGCATCAGCTTCCAGAATACCTTCGGTAAGATGGTTACATTCCCATTCGCGGGCGCTTCATGCTTTCAGATGAACGTTATACTGAGTGATTTTTATAGATATGATCCTGGGTGGATTTGGAGAGTCAATCGGGTACCTCCTCGATAGCGGCGTCAAAGTTCACATGATGTGTGAGTCTTGATCATCCCCATCCTTGAAAGTTGCGTGCTGTTCCTAACGCTCTTGTGTGCAGATGGAGATCGCGACTACGCCTGTAACTGGGTCGGCGGCGAGAAGGCTAGTCTGGCGATCCCCTACAACCGATCGATAGACTTTGCCAACGCCGGGTACGCCCCGCTCATCACCCCCGATGGTGTGACGGGCATGACGCGCCAGTTCGGTAACTACAGTTTCTCGCGTGTCTACCAAGCCGGCCACGAGGTGCCGTCTTATCAGCCCGTGACGGCGTACGAGATCTTTATGCGGGCGACGTTCAACCGGGACATCGCGACGGGACTCATCCCCGTCACGGACGAGCTGTCGACGATCGGCGTCAAGGACACGTGGCACATCAAGAACATCCCGCCCAAGGAGCCGGATCCGATTTGCTATGTCCTCAAGCCCGAGACGTGCCCCGAGGATGTGTGGAAGACGGTCGAGGACGGGACCGCACTGGTGAAGGACTACTACGTGATTGACGCTACTCGAGAGAGTCAAGGCCAACAGATTTCCGAGGAGCTGTGAAGACACTGGGCAAGAGAATGGTAACTTGCTTAATAGACCACATGCACTTTGAGGTAGTTAGCGCAATTCATGGTTTGAGGCAGGCCGCAAGCTCAACACTTTGGGGCCAAACAAGTAGAGACGGTCGGGACAAGTGTGTTTCAGTGATTGGACGCATGAGGGGAACTCGTCAGGAAACATGCAGCGCTGGTATCTGCCCTATGCCCTAGCGCCGGTGTCTAAACGTGTTGTAGTTGCGGTCCGACGGGTTTTAGCTCCCTCCAACTCCTCAAGCTTCAATAAACTAAGGTTCTCCTCATCTCGGGTGCGCGCATTTCGAGGGTTGCCAGGGTCAGTGTGCGGCGTGCCCGTGGTTCTGGGTGCGCGACGTGCCGTATGTGTTCCGGAGAGACAGTGAACCTGAGTCGTCTGAACAAGAAAGTCAAAAAGAGACTCGGCGAGACAGACGATCCGCCAGCTGGCGGCCATTTCGTCCGATCCGAAGACGTGGATGGCCCTGGCGGGACGTTGTTGCGCCGGCGGCACGACAGCACGAGCCCCTCGGGAGGCGCAGCGCCGAGCGAGGGCTGAGCAGGGGGGAAACGCGGCCGCGTTTTTCAGACGGGACGGGGGATTGGTATCAACTGCAGACAGCAAGAGACGAGAGTCTGCATGGCGGTCATCGCGCGGGTGACGGGGCAGCGGGTGAGACCGGGGTTGGTTTCTCTAGAGAGCTCTTGGTATGTGCCAATGAAGTAATGGCACACTACGAGACTGTACGACCCTTTCACATGCTAGTTTGAAGATGGGGACTGAGGGCCTCTTATCTCAAAAGAAGCAGCGTTCCCAACCCCTCCCTCGACAGAATCGGTCTCGAGTGAGTTCTGTTCCTTGTTACTTTACGTTGATCTATCTAGCCTCTTATTGTTTCTGTCACCCAACTCCACTGATTTGCTGAAGCTTCTTGGACGTGCCCAGTGTCGACTGAAACGGCGCTGAAACAACTGCTCCTGGCAGATTCAAGACATTTGGCCATTTCATAGGCCTCCAGCCATTCCATATCTCATTAACAACAACGACAACAACAAAGAGCGATACTTTAGAAGAGAAACAAATACGGGAGACGAACTTTAGACGGGAATCATACAATCACACGGCAAAATGGATACAAAATCATTCTCATCACGGATCAGTGATCTTGTCAAGGTAAGCAGCACCGCATTCCATAACGACTGGTTGCCCATCAGCAAGGGCTCCACCACATGATTCAAGCACTCTCAAAAGAAGCAAAGCCGCTAACAACAAACCGCTCTAGTTCCTTTCCTCTGTCCAGGGAGACCTCTCAAATGTTACCGCGCCGCCCTCTTTCTTGGCGCCATCGTCAGTGGTCGAAGTCGGCCACTGCTGGTGCCAGCGGCCAGGCGTCTTCGTCGCCCCGGCACTGGAATCAGACCCGGAGAAGCGCAGCTTGAAGGTGCTGCGCATGATCCTCATCGCCATGCGCAGCCAGTTCTACGTCGCCGGCGCGCCAAACGTCAGTATTAAGAAGCCACTCAACGCGTTTCTGGGTGAGCTGTTCCTCGCTTCGTGGACGGATTCCGATCGGAAGGCGAGGACGGAGCTCGTGGCGGAGCAGGTTAGCCACCACCCGCCCATCACGGCAATGCACATGGGCAGCAAGGAGCATGGTATTCGCGCGGACGGGTATGCGCGGGTGGAGATGACCTTTTCGAGTACTGTCAACATTCGACAGATTGGGCACGCCGTGGTTCATATTGACCGATATGACGAGGATTACCTGATTCCGTTGCCAGAGGTCAAGGTTCGGGGATTCCTCAACGCATGTCTTTACCCAGAGGTTTTGGGAACATATTACATTGTTTCCAACACGGGCTACATTTCAGAGATCAAATTCTCGGGCAGCGGGTTCCTTAGAGGCAAGAAGAACTCATTCGAGGCGCGGATGTACCACAAGAACGACAAAAAGAACACAATCTACGAGCTTCAAGGATGCTGGAGCGAAGGCTGGACACTCAAGGATGGAAGGACAGGGGAAATTCTCGAAAAGTACGAGGTCGACGCGTTGGAGAACCTCCCAGCGCCGATGGAAATGGAGCCGATTGCGACCCAAGATCCGTGGGAGTCTAGACGCGCGTGGAACGGCGTCATTCAAGGGCTCAGCAAGAATGACTTCCGCGAGACGGTCAGCGCAAAGAGCCAGGTTGAGGAGGCGCAGCGGCGGATGAGGGCGGAAGAGAAGAAGAAGGGCGAGACATGGGAGCCGTTGTTCTTCAAGAGTATTCCTGGGGAGGAGCACGAGGTTTTCCATCGGTTGGCAAAGGGCGTTAATTGGGAATTACATGACAAGCATACCAAAGGCGTTTGGAAGATTGATGATTCAAAGAGGGACTCGGTGCAACGGCCGTTCAGAGGAGAATCGACACCACTGGGTTAAAGGAATATTGCCTAGATTTAAATTTGATGCATTATGACTATTTGACTAAAATACTTGCGTCAGATCTCTGTTATCTTTTCAACTTCCTCCGGCTATTCAGGTTGAGAACGCTGCTTCTATAAGCCTCGTTAGCTTATCACGCCAGACAAATTGTTCCGTGGAGGTGATGAAGTAGTCGTAGAATCTGGCATATCAGGTTTAATCTGAGTCTGGCGGCGACTTCGGCCACATATCCCAGTCCACCACATCTTCCCACCTCAACGGACTTTCGTCTTCATCCTCCCATTCTTCCCCAGACGCCGCACTCCTCACAAAAGCGATTTGCCTGGAGGGTACAGGAGACGACGCATTACCGGCTTGTGGCTTTCTTCCCTCATTCTTCTTCTTCCCCTTTCCCTTCTCTAAAAAGAAGGACTTCCTCGTTCTTTGAGCCCAAGTTTTCAACTGGTCCGGATTCTGGGCGCAGAATAACACCAATTCCCTAGTCGCCAGACAATCCTCCAGATCATCGTGTGCTACACCCTCAGCCGCCCGGGTCGAAGAACGTATCTGGATACCGAGAAGCTCCTTGCACAGCGCCTCCAAGCCCCACCTCTTCGTAATCTTCGATTTCGACCCGAGGACGGCATCTGCAGTGATGATGGCGGAATCAATGATTCTCGCATGGGAGGTGTGTAGCACCCGCAGGTCATTGCGGACTGACTGTCCGATGAGAATCGTGTCCTTGTCAGAGTAGCGCCATAGTTCCGCGCGCGCGGCCTCCCAGCCGTCCAGAGCTTCATTTCGTAAAAGAGCTGCGGACATCTTGGTCGCATTGAGACCAGTGACGTCTTCACGCCAGTCTAATATGGGTCTTCTTGGATTTACAAGCCGGCGGCTCAGCAACACATTGCCCGTAAGGAAGTCGAGAATAGTGATCTGGATCAGTTCGTTTTCGCCTCGTTCGGTACCGCCCATCTCGCAGTCTATGACGAGAGCGGCATACTTTGGATTGGATTGGATCTTATCAGGACAGGGTAGATCAACTGTCGACGCCATGCTGGACGAACCGTGCGTGACATTGACCATTGTGGTCGGTAGAGTATATCTTTCCTTTCGGAGTCTCTCCTCTGAGTGACAGAGATCCGAGATTTGGTTCCAAATAGCATTTCGTCCGACTGCTGGCGAGTACATGTTGCCCCTGTATATGGTGTGCATAGGCGTAGTGGTTTCGATAGCCCTGACTGGCTGGGTCACGAGCAGCTCAGGGGTCTCGGGTCTTTTGGCTCTGGTTGGCAGATATACTACCAACGGACGTGGGCGGACAGGTTCGGCGGCTCTGGCTTGCTGGGTAACAACCGGAAGAGGTTGTACAAGTCCGGCGATTCTAGTCGATTGAGCAGGAACCTCATCAAAGTGTTTTGCGCGCCTATGTTGTCGCTGACCTTCTTTGGTACTGAATCGTTCCTTGCAGATGGCACATTGGTGCTTTCTCTCTTTTTGATAGGGCGGCATAATCAGGAATTCAGTTGAGGACTGTGAAAAAGGAGAGGAAGAGCAATGAATACCCCGGGGGAAACAAATGTTTATCATTAGTGTATTTATAACTGGGAACCTTGGGTACATTCACGTGGTCCAGATCGGTCACGATTTGGTTGCGTGAAAAGTTGGCGGCCCGCGACATGATCTCTGTTGGTGCAAGAGCGGCTTTATCGACTGCGTAATTGGGCTCCCTTTTTTTGTGATCGACACACTTCTGCAGGAGGCTAACTGCTCATGTCTCACTTGTGGTGTCGTGATTCTAGTTAGTCGACCGTTTCCAAGGTTTCTTAGATTTTGCTGATCTATCTTCACAGGGACTTCGCTACCGGGTACAGGCACTGTCAACTCAGAGAACTATTGCTACTTCTCATACGAACCTGTGAACTTCGATGGAAGCGCCCGCTATTGTCATAAATAAGCGACGGAAAGAAATATCAAGATATGAAGACTGCCAAGTGATGTTGGAAGCGTTCGTGCAGAGCAACTGCAAGTGTCCGAATTTGGCATCTCGAACAAACCAAAAGGGCTTTGCCACGAATCTCTGCGCTAACCTGTGCCAACTAGATGAAAGCTCATGCGTCTGATCAATGCTGCTTATTCACTACTTTGGGTGTCTTGCATGTCTTTGGAAATACGTCGTAGTATGCGCATAGCTGCCTGACTTCCTCTTGGCTTTGCTGCGGTACGCGAGTTGGATTGTTGATACTTTTCCCGCCTAGCTAATACGATAATGCCGCCAGCCAAGCCCGTGAGGGTATTCAGTCGGAAGCGGAGTTATGCCGAATGCATCCGATGGCGGTGTGTCAAATGAGATAATCACGTCGATGAAGAGTGCATGTACTCCTCAACGTCGCTAATTTATCTCCACTGTTCCTCCCTTCTATAGAGATGGAAACACCTCGATAAGGGCAAGGCTTTAACGTTTACTATTCGAAGGCTCCAGTCAAGAAACACAATTTCCATGGCGCTATGTGCACAAAAGGCATCATCAAGCGATTTCGTTTCGATTCCGTCACCCCACCTTGCGAATCTTCATACTCCTATAGAGAATAGTTCAAAAAAAGGCCCTTCAATACTTTTACTGGGCGATACAATCTAATACACTGGGTTGAGTCTAGGTCCTCTATACCTCTTGTTCGCGTACCCAAACCAATTCGCGACAGAAAAGAGACCCATAACCCCGAGAACCACGCAAGCATAATCTGCCTTTGAATTAGCAAGGAATGGCTGTGCAGTCGTAATGAAACAGTTAGCTCACTCATATTCGAAGCCGAGACAGGCATAACAACGGGAAAGTCATAGAACACCAGCGCCAATAGTCCCAAGACAATCGTCAAAATGTTGGCAGCGGCACCAATGAGGGGCGGCATGTTAAACTTTCGCCGCGGCAGTACTCGACGGAAAGCCGCCGCTCCTTGTGACCGATGATATAGAGCTAGAGCGGCTGGAAAGGCAAAGCTCACTTGCTGTAGGATTAGGCCGGTAGCGACAAGAGCATTGAAAGCCGTCGAAGACGCTAGAAATATACAACCGAGAGCGAAGATGAGTGCCCAGTTGACGAGAAGTGCGTTGACTGGCACGCCCATTTTAGGGTGGATCTTACAAAGGAATGGGGAGAATACAATGGCATTGTCACGAGCGAATGCCCAAGTAAGTCGACTGGCCGTCTGGAGTGCTCCCGTACAAGCGAAGCATCCGCAAGAAGAGAGTACAATCACGAACGTCGTTGCTGCTGCGCTGGATCCAGTTGCCTGCGACCAAATCTCGAGAATAGGCAGCCTAGTGTAAGTCCATGTCAGCTCTGCAAACTTTCTGTGCCCGCAACAAAGATCACCGCCCCCCGTGACTTTAGGCTAGGTGTCACTGATCCGGGCCTAGACACTTGGATTCAGAGAGAATGGGGGGGGGGGGGGCATACGGTGATGAGAGCACAGGCTGAAGATCTGTGAAGCAGTACAGCATAGCTACGCTGAACGTAAAAGCCGAAACAAAACCGATAGTTATCGTCGATATAAGTGCTTTGGGTATCGCAGATGAAGCATTGGTGCATTCCTCGGCCAAGTGTATGGCGCCATCGAGGCCGGAGTAGATGAAGTTAGGGTTGAGTAGACCAGTCAGAAAGACTATGCCCTTTGACGACCAACCACTCTCATTAACGAACGTGGTCCACACAAAAGAATCCTTCTGTTTCTGTCCCGAGCGCGCCAAGCATGTGACCGTTATTACGAAGAAGCCCGTCAAAGAAAGAAAAACTATGAGATCAGGTAGTCAGCCCTTACACCGTCTTGGGATGGTCTGCGAGATGCAGTAATTAACAACAGTGCCTACAGCCAATATCGTGGACCCATGCTGTCCTTTTCATCAGGAAAATATTGTACGCTGTAAACGCGATATTGAATGCCTGGAAGACTAGAAAGATGTGCCATGTTTCTGGGATATACGTAGGATCGAGGTACGATGCGAGCGAAAGAATGATGACTGGCATTTGAATGATGAAGCCCGCTCCATTGGCAATCCAACCTAGGAAGTTGATACTGCCGCAACAATAGCTCTAGAAATATGCACACGTCAGCAATAGACGGGTATTGAGCCACAAATAGTCTCACCAGTCCACGGCTGTACCGTCTGGGTGCTGGGATGCTTGTCCAGTGGTATTGTCCCCCGGCGGTAGGATAGACGGATGCAATCTCAGCCATGCTCAACGCACATGCGCCTCCTAAAACGAAAATAAGGACGATGCCATAGAGCAGGGTGACGGGCCCTCCAGAGCTGATTGAAATCACTAGCGTGGCTGCAATTGCGGACCAGCTGTTACAGATGTTCCATCCTAATCCAACAATAGCCAAAGGCCCAATGTCTCGTTTTGCCAGCGACTCGAGCCCTAGACGAGACAGCTCGGCGTCTTCAGCAGAAGTAGTATGAGTTGAGGCACCTGCCATTGCGAAAATTTCCCGGAAGATTAGTCGAATGCCTGTTTTCAAGACGATTCAGAAGAATGACAAACCTTGTTCTACTTTGCCATGCTCCATTGACTTTTCAGTCGAGTTTTCTTTAGGTGCGACGCGTCTAGGGGAGGGTGTAGGCAACGTCATGATGTCTCTATCACGGCCGTCCATCTTCTATGGATCCAAATCACCACGCAAACAGATAAAACCACAGGTTTCACCGATCATACGACGCGTAACTTAGGCAATTTTGGAGTCCGAATAACGGTCATTTATGCGAGCAGCTCGTGTAAGGATCCTCGCTACGGTACGAGCCGAGACTGAGACAAAGCGGCAAGTGGTATTTTCCCCGTCACACTGCAGACTTAAATGCAGTCAGCGTCGTGCTTCGCTTGCACGCCCGAAGCTTGTCGCACTCTGATTCGCGCACCGCAAGACAACAACCGCGGCTCAGATCATCCGCAACTAGAATGTGATGCACAAACAGAGACACAAACAGTAGGTGTGGCACCAGAGGTGCAGAAATTCATTTAGCCTTCTTGGTATCACAAGGATTATGTCTCCGTCGAGGAGAAGAAGAAACTTGAGATGGTCACCCAAATTGCACAGTCAACAAGACAAGACTGGTCCACAGGCATGTTGTTGTATGCACATTGGTCTTCGTGCTCGCCATCATCTCAATGTCGGTGAATTGATCGTGTCTTCCGGTGCAATGTGAATTCGATTCCTCAGGGCATGTAAGCAAATTTTTTGCTACTGCGAGATACGTTTACACCTTTAGTACCTAAGGTGTGTGGTGTATCTCAAGGTACTGGGAATTCTCGTAAACCGATGGATGTGTCCTCGACGTTGCTCGACGCAGTGTTAATACATAAGGTACTCTACATCCAAGACGAAACGATCGTAGCAACTAGCAAGCCAACGAAAAGACCCGCGAACGACGATCTGTGCTGAGTCGATGAACTCGGTCTATTTCCGAAGCTTTCGGGTGACCGACTTCCAGCCGTAATGTTATTGGCGCGAACGCAGCGGAAGACGGTGTAATTTGAGACCGCGCTCCCTTCAGTATAACTGTAAGAGAGCATCACGGGCCAGACCTGCGTCACCGCGTAGTCATAGACCTGTCTGGTATTACTATCGTTGCCAGGAATGTTGTAGGGTGCAGTTGACTGGAATAACGTGTGCGAAGAGGCCGAGGCGTTAGAGATGAACTCCGTTGTGAGATTTCCTTAGATTCCGAGTTAACATCCTTGCGTCAATTGGCATTCAAGGAGTCACTTACTTCTTTCTGCCGTTGTATAAGCCATTGAGTCGCTACAGCTCGCCGGAATGTCGAATCCGATGCCGTACAGCGAAGACTCCAAAGAACTATCGCACTGGACCTTCGCTGCAGTTTCTTTAAGATCGTCGATACAATTTTGTGGGATGACGCCACCACATGAGCCTTGGATATCATCATTGAGCTCCTTGATCTTGTTCTCAGTCCAGCTCATCTGCCACCAAACATATGAGCAGATATGGTACCCGTCAGTTTCGTTTCCTCTTTTGACCGGATCGTTTGAGGAGTCAAGACTGATTTTCGACGGGTTCGAATTGCTCACAGTTCCCCCACTAACGTTTGTGGCAACTGCAACGTCGATGTTCCACCCGTTTCCGTGGCCGAACTCATTGTTTGTTGGAGTCTCCGCAAGTGGCTTCGACACATCGATGCCGAAGATTGGCCAGCTTCCCGTGGCATTTGGATTCAAAAGGCTCTCCGTCAAGATGGAGGAGCTATTCTGTTCCACAGTATCGGCACGTGGCCTGAGATAGGAAACTTGGGACTTGGGTGCATAGCTCCCGTTGACTAGGCTAAGCAACCAGAGGATGACGAGAGAGTTTGTGGCATATGCCATATTTCGAACCGACCTAGAAACTGGGAATTTCTGGGAGCAACTCAAAAGTGGCTGTGAGACAAATTTCCAGACGATTCCAGACTTGCACCAGGGGGATAAGTACTCAAACATATGTGGCGGATACCCTTTGCCATGAATCTACTCTCGTCTACTAAGTCAAATGACATGGGCCAAGGTGCCGCACTTCTCACTCGAGAGACAGTAGTGAGCGGCAAAATTGCCGCTCAGGCGAGCAAAAAAAAAAAAGCCAAGCTCTGATCATGTTGGCGCTCTCATGATTGGGTGCTAGCGTTAAAAGGATTTTAGCATCCCTTCGGGTGCACTATCGTTCGTCGCTAGCCGTTAAAGAGCTAAATGGAATGACATTCTTCCCTGTACTTTGTCAAAGAAAAATCCACGCCTACGTCACTCGAAGGGTTTGGGCTCGGTAGTGTAGATCCGAGGTCTATCAATCAAGAGGAAAGATGGTAGATTGTATGTAGTCATCTTCGTGGAGACATCCGTGTTCTCCCTTGCAACCAAGGTACAGATGGTGGATGCATCAACACCAATCTTTTCTCCATAAGCCACCCACATCCAAACCCACATATTCTTCATTCGTTCTTTTTCATCCAGTCCATCAACTCCGACCAGTCAATACACTGATGTTCCGTGTCGAAACCCGTAACGCCGTCCACTACGACGTTGGCAACCTCAATCGTGAGATCCTGTCCAAACATTGTTAGCACTCGCCAACAAAAGTCATTCCGGTCAGAAGAGTGTACTAACAGGTCTGCACATTATAACTTGACGCAGGAGGTCAAAGCAGTGTCCGAGATGATCCATGTCGTGCGATGCATTGAGCTCCTCCGCCTCGCTTGCATAAATCTTTTCGTTGCTGGAATCCGTGTCCATCTTCTCGTGCCCTCGATGTTCCGTTGTATTATTACGTACCTCGTAAAGTGCTTTGCGCAGCATATCCAGGCAGTGAATTTGATGGAAAACCGCCACGCAGCTCTCCGTTGGCGCAAGTGTCGGGTGCGTGAAGAAGCCGCCGTTTTGCGGGAGAAGGGAAGACCACGCAGCATCGACCTCGGGGGAAGGTGGCATCGCGTAGGCGTAGTCTTGCTGGAAGACTCGTGTAGACGTTTTCACTATTGCTCACCGTCAGCTCCATTCATGCTTTTCAATGGCAACTTGCATTTACTCACGACGAATCTCCGACCTGAGTGGCTCGGCTCCGAAGTAGACGGGCCGTGTCATGAGAATTGGTGGCAAGCAATTGCTGACGCCAGCCACGAAGACCAACAGGAGACCATACGTGAGGTGCAGCTTTCCACGGGCCAGATGTTGCTTGGGCCAGATTTTCTTACCCTCAGTGCTGTCCTCTCCCTGCCCGAGCTTGGTGTATGACGAAAAAGAGGCCATCATCTCTTCACAACGTCGCAACGTGAGACATACTCAGTAACGGGCTTGACAGCTAACTGGCCGTTGTCAGGTAAGGGTAGCCAGCCTTTGAGCTTGAAATAACAACGCAACACCTCTCGATAGCGAGGATGGAGAACTGGAGATGTGCGGGAGTGTGTTAGGCTCTCCTCAACAACCCGGTATGGGCGGAAAGTTAAGAGCCAGAGCTTGTTTAGTACTTACATGACCCGTGTCAACATCCTTCGTCCCCTGTCAACTGCGTCACACTGGAATTGAAACTGGCGGAGCTCGCTCCCCTCTCGCCGGTATGTAAGCTTTTTCATTGATAAACTCAAAAGACTCCCGGTAGTTCAGACGGTTACGAATCACGGCAGAGACACGTGGAACTCTCCTTGAGCGATGCTGGCATGCACCCCTTAGGCTTAGTAAGTTGAGGAAAACCGAGTCAAGGAAATCCATTTCCGACGCGAAACGCAGGTCACCGGATGTGGTATGAGATCCGGAGAATAAACCTTTAGGCATCGTTTGACTCTACGCTTAATTTAAGTATAAAGCTACCCCCATTACGTATAAGAGGTTTTCATATGCGGGAAAGTATCAAGGCGGAGACGATAGACAGCGCAAGCGAATGGTTTTTGTGTGAACGGTGAATGAAGGTGTATAAACAAAGGAATACTTAAGTGTAACTTGAAGTCGCGCCAATGGTCCTTCTATTTGTCAAGCTTAGCCTATGCGCGTGCGAATTCCTAAAGACACGATGTACATGAGGTGTGTCAGTTGCTGACAACTTAGCAAATCACCGACTTGCGTTTGGGCAGGCACTCAACTCTGAGTCAAAATCGAAAAGCTTTGAGCTCGATGTCTCGCAGTTGGAATTTGACGTTCACGAATGGAAACCGCGCTCCAATTAGCCAGCTAACATTGAAAGAATCAAGATAGATAAACCCCTTGGATGGACTGATAGACTTCATCTCTACGTACAACTAGTTAACATTACAGGAGCATAGTGAGCGAGAAGGATAGAAGCATGCTAATCATTGCAGAGGCTTTCGACCAAGAAAACCGCCCTGCAGAGCTCCTTCTGTTGATTCCAAACGAATCTGGCTCACGGCTTCCGTCCACGATGTTGTTAGCACGAATGCATCGGAATACGCTGTAATTCGTCCGAGTCTCTCCGTCTACATAATTGTATGCAAGGAGCACAGGGTAGACATTTGTAAGAGCTGTGTCGTACGCATCACGCAGACCAGCTTCCGATCTATTCGAGTACGGTCCCCAGATGCCGAAGAGGTGAGAAGAAGAACTCTCATCGGTGGAAGTTCCGTTGGGTAGATCAAACGTCACGTTCCCTGGCCGAGGTTATTAGTCTCCGCTCAAGGTCTGTCACGGCCAGTTACAACGGAGGTTAGTAACTTACTTCGGAATGACGAAGGGGATGAGAGTGCTTGAGGGCAGCTCTTAGGCTTTTCGAAGCTTCTGAAGGTGCTACACGGCTGGCGCACCAGGGCCTCTTTAGTCTCCTTGATGCACTCCTCGGAGATAACACCATTGCAGGTCCCGTTAACATCGTCTTGGAGCTTCTCCAATTCTTTGACGGTCCAGACGTTTTCAAACCAGGCAAAGGAACAGATGTCATAATTTTCAGTGTAGTTTGTCGTCGAGTTCAGGCCTTGAAATGCATTCTCCGGTCCTTCGAGAGTTATGACTGCGGGATTCGATACTGAAGTGCTGATGCCGTCCGCAGAAATGTTGGTCGCAACGGCGATGTTGATGCTCCAACCATTTCCGGGGCCGTAGTCATCGGCAGGTGGATTCAGCAGTGGCTCCGTCACATCGATGCCATTGATAGGCCATGTTCCTGTGGCATTTGGGTGTGCTACTGCGTCGCGGATATTGATGCTAGTCGAATTACTTTGCCGCGCTTGTATGCGGTCAATTCGGGCGCTATCGGCTGTTGCCAGAAATGGCAAGCCTGTCGCAAGGATGCCGATGAGAAACTTCATGTTGAGATTTCTCAACTCTTCTGAAAGTTTATGCAATATTTTTGCTACGTAAACTTTGATGTTATTAGGGAATTATCGTGGGCAAGATTCGAGGATCTCATGCAAGATGCATCATTAGTAAAGGAAGCAGATGAAGTTGAAGCTTAAGGGCGCAGGAAGGCCAGTCACTTCTTATAAGCCGCCTACTATTTCTGCCTTGACTTGAAGATCGCCAATATTGGAACTTTGGTATTCAGCAATGACGTACCTACGTTGGTGTTTATGGCAATTCTAGTGGTCAATCTCAGCGCTGGGTAAGACAGAAGGATTCATGCTTGGCGACGCGGTCTCTTGGCAGTCAGCATAGGTACCGAAGTACCTTTGAAATAGTACCTAGAGGAAATGACTGTAGGATTCTTCTTTGAAGTGAGGGCGTCTACTATGCCAGCCGGTTGCACTTAATGAATGGTCAAAGAGAGTTTATGTATTGGCTTACCCATTCATCAAATATTCAATTTGAAAACAACTACATAAAGTGGCAATCACGTAGATGCCGTCTCAGGCGATATCTTCTTCAACTGATCCTTCAATTCCTCTCCCGTTAGTTCGGTCAAAGTCAATATAGCCGACTCGACCGTACTCAGAGCAACAAGTGCGGCGCCATACGTGAGCGGCACCTCTTCCGTACCCTTCAAAGCAGGATGATCTGAGAATTCCCCTCTGGTCGGAGAACTGGCTGTCTCTACGCTCTTTTCCGCGGAAGGTTGAGAAATGGCGTCGAACCGAGCACTCTCAGTGACCAAAAGGTCATGAGGCCTTTCGGAAGTCGTCGCAGACCTAGCACTTGTTGCCTTGAAGTCGCCCTTGTCGCTAGAATCGTCAAGCTCATTGAGGTCTAGGTGATCAAAATTCCTGCGGCGCCGAGGCATCTCTGCAGGCAGCGGGAAAAATGGGAGAGGACTGGGACGGGCAGTTGTGGTTGCAGACTTCCCCCCCTTGGCTGTGTGGTCCTTGATGTAACCGAACTCGAGAAGGTCCATGGCCCATTTGTATGCCTCGTATGTGTCCTTCATCTTGGGGTCGTTCCTACTGCCCTGGTGCAGAGCATCAAACATCAGGTAAAGTGCGCGTACAACACTCTCGAGCGCCCCAACAACCCAAGCGTGGTGCGCAGAAGCTGCTTCGCCGACGAAGTACAGCTGACCACCTGCGTTCGGCTTGGTGATGGCCGGGTACAGCTCACTGAACTGGCTAGGGCCGAAGTAGGCGAATGCTCCAGCCATGTGGGGATCATGGTACCAGTCGTAAGCGTGGTGCTCAACGTACTGCTCATTGAGCATCTTCAGGGTGGCAGCGAGTTTTTTCGTGTCGTTGTGGTCGTCAGTGTGGAGGAAGGCGAGATCTCGAAGCATGACTTCCTTCAGCTCGGCCTCTTCTTTGAGGATGCGCTTGTTAGTTGCCTCGTCAAGCTCGCCGCGCGGCTTCGATGCGATCAGACTAGCTAGGCGCTGGGCTGTCTGTCCCCAGGTGTAGGAGACAAGGAGAACAGCAGGCTTGTCTCGTGGGTCGACCTCCTCATTGATATTGTAGGAAGGGTACACGCAGACCTGTGGAGCCAGATCCGTACGGGCAAGGCCGCCTTGATCGATTTTGTACGGCTCCTTCTGCCACCAGGGGGTCTTGAACTTGATGCCGACTTTGCAAGAAGCTCCGTAGCCCAAGCAGCGGATGGCTTGCTTGGTATCCCAGAGCAGACCAGCTTTGGAAAGATCCATTCGGTTCATCGACCCCAACGTTGCCGAACTGAACACCGTGAAATAGTCCTTTGAAGGCAGAGATTTACCAGTGATACTGTCCCGGAGCATCACAGTCATGGACTTGGTCACTCGCTCGTTCAGTTGCAGGTTAGCATCCATGCCCACGACCTGGGTGTTGAATTTGATGGCCGATTGGTTATTCATCTTCTTGCGCATCTCTTCCGCAATCTTCTGAGCGCCGCCGTCGATGCAAAACCAATTATCGTTAACCTTGGCGGGATCGTCGGTAATGTAAAAGTCGATACTCTCCAGAACGGCCTCGGTCAGACTTTGATCATACCAGCCAGTGCCGCTGGGAAAGATGCAATTAGTTATTCATCTAGTTATGGCAGCTTTGAGATACTGAATGGGGAGGAGAACTTACTAAGTGGCAGTCTCCAACCATTGAATGGTATTGTAGCTCAAGCCTGGGCCGTGGGGAACGTCGGGGTCCTTGGGGAAGCCGGGCACTTTCCCCTTCCTGTTGGAATGTCAGCATCTCACAGCAACTAGCCCGAGAACGAAGAGGAACCCACGTGCGTAAGAACTGTCGGACACTCATCTTGTCACACTTCATCAGAATTTTCCAGAGCTTCTCCTCAGCTGCGCGAGGCATTGGGGTCTTCTTGTCGATGTAGGCATCGAGATACTTCTTGATGTATACAATGAAAATCCCGATTGCTTCCTCGAAAAGCTCGCCTGGGCTAGTTTGCAGAAGACTGAGGAGAAGGGTGAAGCAGAGTTAGCGATGTTGCTCAAATCTATACCAATTCCATAATAGTTGGCGACTAACTTCTCTGGAATTTGCTTGTTTTTCGCAATGCCTACATTGAGTGCAAAAGGATCTTTCTCTGTTGAACCCTTCGGGTACGGATTGCCGACCTTTCGGACGTTATTGAAGAGCGTTGGACAAACATTTTTGTCATCGTTCAGGTAATACTTGATCAGTCGTGGAGGATCGTCGACATGCGTGCGATCGCCCAATTTACCCTCTTTGATGTCCAACATCTTGAAAAGGCTAAATGTTCTAAAGTTTGTGTGTTAGTTGAGCTCATTTCATGCCCGAAACGCTCTTCCTCGACGAAGTATCCGCAACATACCTGTCCATGACCGCGTTCCTAGGGAAACGCATGGCTCCGACATCGTAGTAATCGTGCACGCCATCCTTGCTGAAGCGGTGAGTATAGAGCCTGCCGCCGAATCGTTCTTCATCTGAAGCCTCCAAGATTTCGTAGGTGATTTTAAGGTGCTCAGGTCCCTTCTCTTTTGCGATGGTGTCGTTGATCCAGTCAATGGCCAAAGCTGTGAATAGTCCAGCCGTGCCGGCGCCAACGATACCGACGTTGAAGTGCCCCGGCTTCTGGGGGATGACGCCGCCACCGGTAACCGGTTTGAGGGTCTCGGCCAATCCGGAGACGGTCTCGGCTTCCGGCTTCAGACCATTAGTGTCTACAAGATCAGCATAGCCGTTCTTCGATGCTTCAAGGTCGTTCTCGAGCTTCCACTGGGCGACGAATTCGGCCCATATGTATTTATAGCACACTTTTGGAGTCGTATCAGGGGACTCTGGAGGTGCCATATTTTCTTTACTGATTTTAACGTGGACTGACTACCAGATAGAAAAGAATAAGTTGCTTTGGTCGTTGGTGGTTGAGTCGCAGAGACTGATGTTCAGCGCGGAGCCCATGCATATTTATACAGTTTTCAATTGCAAGAACTTCATAATTATCGACAACAACACCTCCTAATTTTTCCTCTCATACGTTCCCTCCGTTTATTGATGTCTAGCATCGTGTCAAATTTCTCAGTTGGTCTCACTCTCAGCCGCTGCTAGTGCAATGTTATGCTTGCGGGATGCCCTGCTCGTACTTTGAACCTATCACCCCATATTTTGACCACGCGAGACAGTGATGAGTCTTTACCTGAATCGAGACCCTTCCATATCACCCACAGAGGCTGGCTGAAATTTGAATAGCTGACGTTAAGAACCAACTGGCAAGCGGGCACCCTAACTGAAAGAAGTTTAACCCGCGCTGCCAGCTTTCAGCTGCGACCCGAACTCATCCTGCATTCAGACATTTCGACTCTTTACCCCGCAAAACTGAACGATGGGGAACGGCAATCATTGGGACCATCCTTATCAATAGTGCTCAGGGATCGGGCCGCTGGCATGATGTCTTAGTTTCCGCCCGCCAACCGCCGAGTCTAGACCAGCTCCCGCACTAACGAGGAACAATTCGAGAACTGAACGCAGTTTTTCCATGTTCACCAGTACATCTTTCTGTCTCGAACCTAGCCTTCGAAAGCATCCTCGAGCAACTTGGTCTCCTCAGCTTGGTGAACCTTTTTGGAACCAGTAGCAGTAGCAGCCCCTGTCCCCCGCCCAGCGTAAACGATCTTCTTACCCCCAAGCACACCTGAATTCTCAATCACAGTCTCGAACCTGTCCCGCATGTACTGCCACGCGCCTCCGTTATACGGCTCCTCCTGGCACCACAAAATCTGCTGCGCATTGGGGTACGACTCCAGGTTATCCTTGACTTCGGACCAGGGGAATGGGTGGAGTTCTTCGATGCGCGTGATGGCGACGTCCTTTATGCCCTTTGCTTCACGGTATTTGTGCAGTGCTGCGTAGATCTGACCACTGCAGAGAATGACACGGTCGATCTCTTCGCGCGGGAGGATGTTACCCCGTCCGTGTTCCGGGTCCTCGAGGACCGGCTGGAAGGCTGATGTGCCAATCAGGTCAGAAACGGGAGACCTGGCGATGGGATGTCGAAGAAGAGACTTGGAAAAGAAAACAATCAGAGCTGGGAGTGTTAGCAGACAATTCCAAGCCAATCCTCTCACGAGAACGTAAACTTACGCTTCTTAGGAGAATAAACCTGCCTCCTCAACGCATGGAACAAATTCGCCGGCGTCGTCATACACACAATCCTCACATTCCCCTCCCTCCTCGCCCTCTTCAAATCCTCGGGCCAAGCCCGCCCATCCTCGCTTCCCAACTCCAGAAACCTGCCCAGCCTAGCAGAAGAATGCTCCGGCCCCTGGCCGTCATACCCATGCGGCAAGGACATGACGAGGCCAGACTCGAGCATCCATTTCGCCTCTCCCGAAGAGATGAACTGATCGACAATGACCTGCGCGTTGTTGACAAAGTCGCCAAACTGCGCCTCCCACACCACTAACGAGTCTGGCGCAGCGAGTGAGTACCCGTAGTCGAACCCTAGGACGCCAAATTCGCTGAGCGGAGAGTTGATTGCGCTGTATGTGCCTGCTCCTGGAGTGTCTAGGTGGTTCAGGGGCGTGTACTCTGCATGGGTGATTTGATCGTGTAGAACGGAATGGCGTTGGGAAAAGGTACCTCGCTCAACGTCCTGGCCGCTGAGGCGAATGGACTTGCCGTCTTGGAGGAGGGTTCCGAAGGCCAGGGCTTCGGCTGTGGACCAGTCGACTGTGCCATCGTCAAAGGCTTGCTTCTTGGCGGCAAGGATGCGTTGGAGGTTGCGGTGGAGGTCGAAGCCTTCTGGGACGCTGGTGATTGCGTTTGTAATCGTCGACAGTGCATCTTCATCGATCGCATTCGCGGATGTAGTAATAGTCTCAGCGGCTGAAGTCAAATCCGAAGAAGCAGCGTCCACAGAGCGTTCAACTGGCTGCTTGCTTCTCGCCAGCTTCTCCTCTAGCTGCTCCCAGACCCAAGTCTTCTGCTGCTCTGCCATTTCGGCAGACAATCCGCCCTCACTGATCAACTTCTCAATGTAGAGGTCCATCAATGATCTCTGTTCGGCAATTCTCTTGTACATCTCAGGCTGCGTGAAACTGGCCTGGTCAATCTCGTTGTGTCCGAACCGCCGGTAGCAGACGACGTCAACGACGATATCCGAACGGAACTCGGCCCTCCAGTCCGCAGCCAGCTTGCTGATGAACACAACGGCTTCCGGGTCATCAGCATTGACGTGGAAAATCGGGGCCTCGATGTACTTGGCCAAGTCTGTGCAGTGTGGCGTTGACCTGGAATCTGGGGAGTCGGTAGTAAACCCGATTTGATTATTCACAATGATCCGGACTGTGCCGCCGACTTCATAGCCCTTCAGGGCCGAGAGGTTGAGCGTCTCGTACACAGGCCCCTGACCCGAAAATGCGGCGTCACCGTGGAGAGCCAAGAACATCACCTTGGACTGATCAACGTCGTCCTTTAGATGCTGTACAGCCTTGGCCTTTCCTTGGGCAACCGGATCAACAGCCTCCAAGTGGGACGGATTTGGCAACATAGAGATGCCAACCGTCTTGCCGCCAGCAGTCGCCCTCTCGCCCTCCATGCCAAAGTGGTACTTGACATCCCCAGTCTGCCCCTTGGTCGTATCAAACGCCTCCGTGCCCGCAAACTGACGGAATAGCGTCTCGAAGTCTTTGCCATACACCGTGCTCATAAGGTTCATCCTTCCGCGGTGACAGCTTCCGATAACGATATCCCGCACACCGTGCCCTTCTGCGCAGCGGTCAATGAGCGCGGCTAAGCCGGGAGCCAGCCCCTCTGCGCCATCTAGGCCGAATCGCTTCTCGTTGGGAAACTTTGCCGCGAGGAAGTGCTCGAGGGACGTTGCCCAGATCAAGTTGTCGAGGATCTGCTTCTTCTCTTCAGGGGAGGGGGGCGAGGTATGATACGCTTCGATGCGCTCTCGGAGCCATTGGCGTTTGGCGGGGTCGGAGACGTGGTGGTATTCGACTCCGATAGAGCCGCAGTAGATCTTTTCGCAAGTGGCGATGATATCGCGGAGCTTCATCGTCTTGTATTCTTGTGCGAGGTGGGGTAGAAGCTCTGGACCTAGGACGATTTCGCGGTCCAAGTCTGCGGCGGCGAAGCCGTACTTGCTCAAGTTTGTTGTGCTCGGAATATCATCGTGTGGCTTGACTGTCGCGTTGCCAAGGTCGCCAAGGGGGCTGATCTTTGCGGCTGAATGGCCATATTGCTGGAACGCTCGAACGATATTCTGTGTCTTCAGAGAGTCGACAATGTGGCTCGAATCCGCACCGAGAGACGATTTGATGGCCGGTGTGTGCCTGGGTGAGATTATGCCTGGCGGTGGCTGAAAAGCTTGCGTCGAATGTACCGATGGGTCTTCCATGTTACGGAAATATGTGTGCCATGATATATGGACGTTTTCAGGGTCCTTCTTCCAGGAAAGATACATTTCGTCGACGTAGTTCGCTGTTCCTCCCTGAAGGAACGAGTCTATAGGACTCTGAGTGGTTGCAGATCGTTAGTTCTGGGGGCATGACCGAGGAACTGTTGGACAAAATCTTACCGGGAGAACCCTTGGTTCCTCTGCTTCTGCTGCCGTAGCATATGATCTACCTCTCGAGGGCTCGAGTCTACATGATCTGGTAGACGTGAACGTTGGGCCGTTTCTTGGCCCTCCGATTCCCCTAAGAGGGGACGAGATGCTGCGGAAGCTCGAAGAAGGAAGGGACGAGGTCTTCGTGTGCAAGAGCCTTCGTTGTGTATGGCCTTTACAGATGGAGCAGGCGGATTGAATCATCGTGTCGGTTGTTCAACTGATGATGAGTATCAGCTTTCAGGTTGGTAGAATCTGGAACCTTGACGTTTGGCAGGAAATCGAGTTGAGGGCAATGTGACATGTCTCCGTTCTCGATACTCGCTCTTTCGATGATTGATGAAGACAAAGTTAGATGTGAAGTCTACATATCCAAGTGCGACGCGACTTACACGCGGGGAAGATCTGTGACAAACCCCACTCCGCTGGCGCACCGATCTCTATGCCGTCGTTCGAGTTGAAAGTCAACCGAGTAGGCTAATCAGGCAGGCTATCGGCGACTCGGATGTACTGAAGACATTTGGCCTCGATCTCAGGCCAATATCGAGGCGATGCTCCTCGCACGCAATTGCTTTGCTCGTTGTTGGCTTGGAAGTGGTTAAAAGTTACCCTCGGATATCGGAGCCGAGACTTTTGCGTGGATCCGCCGTGACACCAAAGTCAGCCTCCTCCGGCTTCTACACCCGGATAGCCAGCAACGACGGCAACATATCTCTTTCATGTCAATTGGATAGTCCTGAAAAGAGTATGGCGTTCGGATCGCAGTCTTCCAGATGCCGGTGGATGGCATAATGGCAAGTGTGGTTGAACACTGAATCCACTATCGCCCCTAATGCTACCTTGTTAGATGCCTGGTACCTCAGCCCAAGTTCCATCAGACCTCTACGAGCCAAGAGTGGTTGAAGTTGGAAGCAATTGCAATGAAGAACGGGCAATATGCTGGACGCTGGATTCTCCGGATTACCTATGACCGAGCCCCCATCTAAGATGTCTAAGATGCAGCAATTGTACGCCCCCAATGCCCGCACGGCAACGCTGTCAATCCAATCCCACTCCACCCATTTACAAAGTAGAATACAATTCGGCACGATGCTACACGAAACCATAGCCGTACGCAGTCTATGCCCCTTCTCTCGCACACTGTCTCTCCTCAACGCAAATAAACAGAGACCTTATTCCATGTTTAGAGAAGAAGGCTGGAGGGGTCCTCGATGTAACCCTTGACGGCGCCAAGGAAGGCCTCGGCCTCGCGCTGCTCAATGAGGCGGTGGTCGTAGGTAACGGTGATGTACATCATGGGGCGGATCTCGAGCTTGCCGTCAACGACGACGACGCGCTCCTTGATGCCGTTCATGTTGAAGATGGCGGCCTGGGGGTAGTTGATGACGGGGGTTCCGAACATGGAGCCAAAGATGCCGGGGTTGCTGATGGAGAAGTTGCCGCCCTCGAGGTCGGGCATGGCGAGCTTGCTCTTGCGGGCCTATAGTTTAGTTTTAGAAAGCCTGTACTTCTTTACAGCATAATCATAATGCGGGACTTACCTTGTCGGCCAGCTCAGCAACACCGCGCTCAATACCAACGATGTCCAAGCTCTCCACGTTACGCAGCACAGGCGTAACCAGACCCTTAGGCGCAGACACAGCGATGCTGATATCAACGTAATCCCTGTACGTGATGATCTCCTTCTCGGTATCCATGGCGGCGTTGATCTGGGGCACACGCTCCGCGGCGAGACACGTCGCCTTGGTGAAGGCGCCCATGTAGCCGAGCTTGACACCGTAACGCTTCATGACAGCCTCCTTGTTCTTGGCACGCCAGGCCATCAGGTTGGTCATGTCGACTTCCTCGATGCACGTCAGGGAGGCCGTCATGTTTTGCGACTGCTTGAGCTTCGTGGCGATGGTCTTGCGCATGCGCGGCAGCTTCTCGGTGCGCTCGCCGCGGGAGAATGAGCCCGTCGCGCCAAAGGGAACCTCGGACGCGGGTTTTTGTTGTTGCTGCTGCTGCTGTTGGGGAGCAGCAGGTTTGGGTGGTGCCGGCGCGGGCTTGCTCTCCTCCTTCTTGGGCGCCTCGGGCTCCTTCTTCTGCTCCTGGGCCGGCGCGGCGGCGGGCTCGGGTTTGCTCTCGGACTTGGGCTCTTCCTTCTTTTCCGGCTGAGACTCCTCCTTCTTCTCGGCGGGTGCGCCGCCCGTCTCCATGCGCGCAAGCTTCTGTCCGACCTCGACGGTGTCGCCCTCGGCAACGAAGAGCTCGACAATAGTGCCCTCCTCCGGGGCGTTCACGGCGACGTCGATCTTGTCCGTCTCGATGCTGGCGACTTCCTCGTCGGCCTCAACGCGGTCGCCGACCTGCTTGCCGATGGAGGCGATGGTGCCCTCGGTGATGGACTCGGCCATTTGCGGGACGGTGATGATGACCTCGCCATGCTGGATACGGGTGGTGCTGAAGGAGCGGTATTGGGAGGAGAGGGCGGGGAAGGCGTGAACGATCGGTCTTGAGGTGGTGCGCGTCGCGGTTGTGAGGGATCTCGTCTTTGTGGATGTCGGTTTTGATGCTGCGCTGGTGATCTGGGTGCGAGCTGCGGATGCGAGTCTGGAAGAGGCCGCGGAGGGCTTGGCCAGGCGGCCGACGGCTTGAAGCTGAGAGCGCATCATCTTGGCGGTTGTGGGTAGAGGAGAGGAGAGGAGCGTGGTAGTTGAGCGCCCGGCGATCCTCGACGACAAGTCTGGGTGTTTCTGGTGGTGTTGAATGAGTCTTTGACCCTGGTTAGAGAAAAGGGACTCGGAAAATCGTTGTGTAAATTTGACGTTGGAGCTTTGCTGGGCGCTATGACAGAATGACCTGCCGCTTTAGCCTCAGAGATCAACAGCTCCGTATGGCAAGCACCACAGAGCAGGTCACTAGACTATCTCAATAATCTCTGGTATGTATCACGGCCTGAATTTAGTTTACTACAAGCTTCACATACATCGATTTTGTGAAGGTCTGTTTTCTCATTTAGGACCTTGCGTTGCCTGCAGTTCTCCTATGAGATCAATTGGAGCTTTGGGACTGTCCATTCTCTCAAAATGACTTGGTTATGCCCCTCGCTTCCTTTTCATGGAGTAAATGTGTGACGGTCAAAGATAGAAAAGACGATTTCAAATTGGAAAGTCATCTATTTGCTAAACGATCAATATTGCCAATACCCGCGAGAGAGGTAGCCCAAAGCTCTCAATTCGTAGACCAGCCCCAAAAGCAGCGGCGCATTCGGTGGCCCCCGGTAACCCTCTGGGAAGAAATCGGAAAGGCTCCGCATCCGCATCCCGGGACGAGCTGCCCGAGTGGATCCGTAGCTTGCCAAACACCGCCGCATCATTGGCCAATTCATCACCCGCAGTTGACAGCCGAAAGACAGCGCCAAAGGGATACGTACCGCCTTGCAGGGGGTTTCGGCTTCTCCTTCCTCCCTTGCGGCTTACCCGGTCAGACGGCTTCTTCTCCTCCGACGTCTCCTTTCTGCCTTTTCCCCTGTGGTTTCTTGCGGTGGATGATTTCTGCGCCAGCACAGGCAGGTAGCAACTTTAGTCATCACACATCTGCCAGACAGGGGTCTCTGAATCTGCAGACCACGTCGCAGCGAGGGAAAAAAAAAAAAGAAAAGTCAATTGATGGGCCCGAGCTCCTCCATTCACATGCACCCAGAGAGTGAAAACTGAGGCTATTCACAGCCATAACGTGACTCGTGCGATATCATACCCCTCCAACCAGCGCAATGGCTGCCAAAGATTCACAACAAAGCGGCAGCAGCCCGAGAGTCGCATACCTAACACTCTACAACACACTCTTCGCAGCACTATGGGCCTCAATCCTCTTCACCGTCATCTCAACCGCCTTGTCCGAGGGTAAACTCGCAGTCTACGCTGCAGCAGAACCTCGCTCGCGATGGGTGCAGACACTCACCCTCATTGAAGTAGTCCACTCAGCCGTGGGTTCGTAACTCCCCACCTCCCTTCACAATCCTCCCAAGCCAATCAGCCGAAAACTTGGAATGTGAGATATCACGCACGCAAGACCAACTTGAACTGACCCAGCCCCCAGGCCTCGTCAAATCCCCCGTAGGCACAACAGCCCTCCAAGTAGTCGCCCGCACAATCATAGTCTGGATGGTCTGCTACAGCTTCCCCGCCACCACAGCCTCCTCAACAGCCTACCTGACCCTCCTGCTGTCCTGGGCGACGGCTGATTCCATTCGCTACGCCTACCTGGCTCTGAACCTCCACGGCAAGGCGTCTGACGCGCTCGTCTGGGTGCGGTACGTTGACGCAAGCCTTTGTTTTTTTGGTGTCTTAGTTGACTTAGGACGGTCGAAACTGACAATCATGATTAGGTACACCATGTTCTACCCCCTATACCCAATCGGCATCGCCTCGGAATTCTGGCTCCTCTACCTCGCCGTCGAACCCGCTTCGCGCATCAGCGCTCTCGTCCCGCCTCTGTTCTACTTTTGCTTGCTGTTGTATATCCCCGGTAAGCCCTACTCCCACCCCCTTAATGGGACTTCCCATAACTTGCTTCCTCGATGCTGATACACGCATCTGGGTCTAGGGTCTTACACCATGTACACTTACATGATCAAGCAGCGCAAGAAGACTCTCGCAAAGACGAAGAAGACGCAGTAGTCCGGCCAGTCTCTGCTTTCATAAAAGCGATGGACTTCCCTCGAGGTAGATGCGCTCTGAGAAGGCAGGTACTGGTAACGGATGGACGTAAACAAGATAAACTTGCAACTACCTTAGAATGTCGGCCAAACTCTACCTTGAGCGTGAATCCGAACAAAATGCGTACAAAGTCCCAGCCATCTTCCATAAACCCTCGGTAAGAGACGCACATCTCGCGCTCAGTCTTACAAGTTATAACGGAACACCTTATCCTGCACATCCGTCAAGTCAGAATCAACCGCAACACCCATCTGCACCGCCTCCGCGCCTCCATCATGGCCACCAACATCATACTCATATCTTCCCTCCGC